GACAATCAAAAGTATAAATGTAGTCAAGTATAAATGTCAACTCTGAAATTGTACAAGCGTATACAACCACACCACCACAACAAACGTCCAATCTCTCTTTTCGGGTGAATTTCATTTCGATATTTCGATCGAATTCCAAGCAAACTACGATGCGGCTAACGACGATGATGACGACGACGACGACGACGACGACGGTAAAGTAGATTTCACAGTTGGCTGATAAAGACTCTCTTTTCCATCCAGTCGATCCACCATCGCAACCATACCGCACCCATCCAACAAATTCCCCCTCCACCCCTCTCATCCCTATCTCTCTTTCACGTACACATCTTTACGAAAATCTAACGTCGTCGCATGCACGAAAAATAAAAATTTCTTTCCTCGTTTCGTCAACTTGTCGTACTTTAGCCCCCTCCTCCCTCCCTCTACTCCCTCCCCCCACTCCCTCGCCCCCCATGCTTATTCCCCATATACCTTCGTAGTCCCTTTTACTTTCTCCTACCCCATTTCGATCGTTACTCGCGCGAATTCTACGTCATTTTCGCGGTTTCCATCCTATTTTCTCGTCCTCTTCTCGTTCGTCTTTCGGGGCAAAAGGAAAATCAAGTTTTCCACTTTCCCTCCGTACGGGAACCTTTTAACCGTCGAGGATGATGCTGAAGTTGGTGTTGGTGTTGGTACTGGTTACGGGGGCTACGGAAAGTATAACGGGGATGGTTATATCGGGTAGGGATGAGAGAGGAGGGTGAAGGGAAAATTCGAGGTCGCGCGATATTTCGAGGAGAAATGGGCTAGGAAGTGGAGCGTATCCTGAAACTTCCGCGCTTGGCTCGATCGATCCCACGTGCCACTCGCGAATTTTCTTTATTTTCATTTAAGTACAACGATACACAAGTAGTATGACCTTCGACCAAAGCTAACGACATCTTATTTACGAAATGATCTATAAAAAGAAAAAAACAGAAGTACGTATGTATTTGAAACGAGTTAAGATTAAGAACGAATCATATCGATTTATCAATGAATTGAATTAGAATTGTGTTATTTAAATAAAAAAAAAAAAATAAAAACCTTTTTTTTTTTTGGTATATTTGACAATTTAAAGTGAATTATTGTTGAGTCGTTTTAATAATATCAAAGTACAATATAAAATCGTTATTTTGAATGTAATTTAAAGATGGTTTAAGCGTTACACGATTTGAAAACTTTAATAAAATAGATGGAAAGAGAGAGAGAGAGAGAAAAAACAACAACAACAAGAAAAACAAGGAGAAAATTACCTTTTTGGTGGAAGTACACGCGATCATGATATATCGCATTTCGAGTTTACAAGATAAAGTATATACTTGCGTCGCGCGAGAGAGAACCCTCTCGTTCCGTCGACGCGAAACGAGTTAACGTAATCGAGTAGGGTTTTCGGTTCTAGTTTCTCGATAAATCGAAACTGTACGAAGCCCGTTAAAGTACAGGACGAAAGAAAGAGGATATGCCGAGCAGCCAGTGTTCGATTACGTTCAACGTACTCGACGACGTACTCTACATTGGCTAATGCAAAGAAACACACAGAAAAAGAAACAAACAAACAAAAACAAAAAACGAAAATAAGAAAAAGAAAAAGAAAGAAAGAAAGGAAAGAAAAAGTGGGAGTAACCTCGCAACTTCAACATTTCGAATGCTTTTTGCGTTATTCGGACCGTGATAACCGCAACGATAACCGGATACAATTCTCGACTCCTCAGGGTTATCTCACGACAGGCCAATCAACTCGGTCGGTCTTCTTCGTGCGAGGAAAATAAAGCACCAACTTGGACTTCGAAGCTCGTAGATTTGCTTTTGGTTTAGAGAGAATGATCACGAAACTGGCATTATTTTACGAATTGGATATCGTACGTAATTGTATTTTGTAAGAAAAACTATCCATCGACCAAAAGTATTCGTTAATAAATAAAAAAACAAAAAATAACGTAATAATAAACGTAAATACGAATCATTGAGAAAGGAAAGTATTTAAAAAAAATATATATATATACTTAATAATATTTTATATGAATAAAAATAAATTAATTGTTTAATTAATCCTGTTTCTCTGTGCAATTAATTAATTATTTGCGTTGAAGTTTGACTTGTTCTTTGGGTTACACATCTGAACGATGAAAATGTACCATACATGCTATAAGAGAAAAAAGAAAGAGAAAGAGAGGATAATGCTTCGGTCATTGCACCCTCTTTGAAAACAACGAAGAAACGGACCAAAACAATGTGGAAAGACGATAAAAATCAGGCCATCACTGTAGGAGGGTGGCCTCTCGACGGCAGGTGTACGATGAACTCGAGGGTAGAGTCCTCTCGCACGAAGAGAAAGACAGCAGGGGCGAGAGCTTTCCCTCGGGATAAAGAGGGTGTTAAGTCCTAGAAGGATGTGGGTTGTTGTGACGGCGATCCTATATACATCGGTCTTCGACTTGCAACCATCTATCATCTACGAACCTTTATCCTTTTACTTTTACTTTTCTTTCAACCCTTTTTCTAACACTTTTCTACGATGATACCATTCTTATTTTTTCCTCAACTCGTCGATCAAACAATCATGAACATATCGTACTTTGATATCTAAACTACTATCGACAGAATCCTAAGAAAATGACTCATGCTGTTAATGTGAATTCTATATAATAACGTTATTTATTAAAACCAATCTCTTATCTTATTTATTTTAATAAGATATGACAGTTTATTTCTCTCGAATACCATCTATATTGTTTCTATTAGTTTAACAAATGATTCTACTATTGATTATCGTTAACAGAATATTACGCTATTTTCCTTTTCCCGTTTACCGTTATCTTGTTCTCACTCTCGTAGTCTATTATGTTAATAACTCTCGTTGTTCAATCGTCTGACTCCAACATTCAATCGTAAAGAATTTGTACTCTATTATATATTTCATACCTAAAGTTATATTTATATAAAATGAATAAATGTATTTATCTATGGTAGATAAATCATCGTTTATACATATACGAGATAATTAACCGAACATAAAAACTAACAAACAAAAAACAAATTCGAAGAAATTAGATATCGTTCGAAGACAATTTCGAAGTAATGGTAAACGATGCTTCTTTTTCAAAAGAAAAAGAAAAAATTCGATTACAGTCGAAATTACAATAGGAAACGTATCGAACATTATGCGTGCAAAGAACCGATCGGACTTCTTGCATTACTTTCAGACGGCTGGACTATCATCATCGGACGGAACAACAATTTTCTCCTTCAATCGTATCACATCACGAGACCCGGGAACCCTCCCTCTCTTTCTCTCTCTCTCTCTCTCTCTCTCACACTGCCTACGCACGAATCTTCAGGAAAGTCACGATCACCGTCGCCATCGTCATCATCGGCGTCGTCGTCAGCGTCGTCCGTCGTCGTCGTCCGTCGTCGTCGTCGTCGTTGGCGTCGTCGTCGTCGAGCAAACGAATGAGTCATTCGTTTGAAAAGAGCAATGTGCGGGAGACGAAACGTTTTAACAACACCTCGGATCGATTTGCTTGGCACGTTCAAATTTTTCGATCAATTCCTCCTCTTCTTCTTTCTTCTTCTTCTTCTTCTTCTTTATCTTCTTCTCTCTTTACTGATTTCAACAAGAGAGAGAGACTTTAACCTACACACGGTTTTCATTATTTATCTCTTGGTCGTTCATAACGAAGCTCACTCTATTAAAACACGACTCGACGTTATCTTTTAAAGTATAAAGAGAGAAAAGGAGAACTTAAAAGAAGTTTTGTTGTATCGGCGAACAACACGGTTTGTTTCCCGAACGAGGCGGAGTTCGATGAGCGATTATTATGACCCGCGGCGAGCCTTGAACTTGCCCTGCGATAAGCCAAACCACTTCGCGCCGAGCTCGCTGCACTCGTTGTTGCAGCTTGCATCCTATAGTATATTCTTCTTAAAAGCATACCAGACTAAAATCATCGATTACTTTCTTACAATGTAATTCTGATCATTATAATATATGAATGATGTATATTCCGTTTTTCTTTTCTTTTTTTAATTAAAAAAAAAAATAAAACAAAAATGAAGAAAAATAAAATAATACAATGATTAATTTATTACACGGGGGTGTATACTACGTGATTTACTAAAATAATATATCTCTTATGATTTTTTTTTATTATTTCTCACGCAAATTGCACAAATACTTATACATCCTACGATAGTTTTTTTATATCCCGTTAAAATGATTAACAAATGTTTAAATAAAGAAAAGAAAATGTTGAATTCCAAATGAAATCAGACCGTGGTTCATAGCCATCGCTACCGAAAGCAGCCAGTCAACCCACCAACCCTCTATTCAATGTCACTACAATAATAAACCACCTCGCGGTTATCTGTATTTCTGTATTTCCCTCTGGGATTCTCGGCACATCCAGGCATCGGGGCCAAGTTCAAGCTATATATACCGTTCTATAGCGTGGGTTTATCCGTGTTTATACCACCCAACCCTACTGTACTCCACACCCTGTTCTATACACCTGTGAGCACACCACTCGCGAACAGAACGACAGAATTTCCATGGAAGGAGTACATGAACTCCATGTACTTTACACTCTGTTATATCTGAATTCTTCGATCTATGGAAATCCGATCTTCAAGCGTTTCTTGCATATATTTACGATACACGCAATTCGCGAATAAAATGATAAGTGTGTTTCTTATTATGGATCCCTTAAATATCACCTGCTACCACCCTATTATTTAAAATTGTAGACCTTGAACATTCAAGAAAGAACTGGATAAACATGATATGGAAGAGAATATATTTTCTATAATAAACCCACACAAGAATAATATTATAAATCGAGTTAACATTCGTTTTCATGATAGAAACTGTAAAAAATCTGTCGGGGAAAAGATAAAACAGAAAAATGACCTCGCAATAAGTCAGTCCAATCTTGAACAGATCAAAATCCCAAGTGAAGATATTAAAGATCACTGACCTTTTTCTCCGTGAGTTTCTCGCACCGCCTCATTTTGCAAATCTGATGACTCTTATCGTTCCTACACGGCGCGCAATCTCCACAGTTGTCCTTCCGTTGGCATCCGATGCATTCCCCGCACCTTTTGCGTTTCTTTTTAGCCGGTTTATCACCAAGGCCACCGTCACCGTCAGCATCACCCATTCCGCCACTCATATGATGAGGACCACGATTGGCGGTAGATGATACTGCCGCTACTTGACCAGAATTCTCAACGCTACCGGGACCACCACCACCACCGCCACCACCACCTCCTCCACCATCTTCGGATTCCATAGAACCAGCACGTATTTTTCTTCGTTCTTTCTTACGCCCATCGATGCCGATCGCCCTCGAAGTTGGCGAGGAGTCGAGAACAGTCGACATTGGATTTTGGAAGTTAGCATGATGAAGTTGCGGATACTCCGGTTTGACTACGGTCAGGACAGTATGATGAGGATGACCTGGAGGTGGTGGGAAAGCTTGGACGGGACTAGAACCGAGCAGTTGAATGTGTCTCTCGTCGAGTATCTGTTGTTGCAAAGCTGGTACCTCTCTCGCTTGAACAGGTGCCGGTACCAGGGGATAACCGACGGTACCTCGATGAGGATGAGGCGCGGGTAAAGGTGTCCCTAGAGTATGAAAACTGGGCAAACCAACGGCTGACGTGACGGGTGGCGAATGAGAAATGGATGCTGGTGACAACGGGGTTAACGCAGTCAATTGGGGCTCGGATTCGCTCGGTGCGGTAAATTGACTCGCGAAACTTGGTAAACTTTCACCGGTCGGTGGTGCGGCAGATACGATGCCGCCGGCATTTTTCGACTCCCAAGGACGATATTGGTTAGCATGAACCACTTCGCCGCGGACGTCGATCAGCCGACCTGTCAGGCCCTCATAATATTCCCAGGACGGCGTAAGGCCCAGTCCAACGTCCTGGGAATGAAGGGTCGTCAAAGTCGTAGAACTGTCCATCGTGCTGTCCCCGGCGAAGCTGCTGAACGGTGGCAGGTGCCGAGACGGATCACCAGAGGTTGGCGAGGTCGCTACCGCCGCCGGAGGGCTCGGTGCTACCCTCTCGGTGGCGACGACCTCCTTCGTCACCTCGGTGCTCATCTTCCCCGCCACATCATCCTGTTTTTAACGCTCCTCCCGCGTGAGCAAAGCTCGACTTGATCCCAAATGACAATTCTCCTTGTATCTCTCTCTCTTTTTTTTTTTTTTTTTTTTTATATAAGTAATTTTAATATCTAAAGAGAGATTATTTTGTGTAGTTTATTGAAAAAAGAAAATGTGCACATTAGTAACACTTACAATCTTTCTCTCTAACTCTCTTTCCTGGATCTCTTTTGTTTGTCCTTCTTTGCTTTTTCCTTTACCTTTGCTAATTGGATATGCACAAGTCCACAGAAACTTCGATTTCGTTACCAAAGAACATTTGACGGCACTAAACTTTGAAGTCTCGGATCGGAACCGAGTACCTTTCAAGATTCACTTCTCTTACTTATATAACTTTTATTTATATAAATTTATATAGTTTACAAAACACTGCGCGGATAATTTTCACTTATGGAAGTCTCGATGCTTGTCTCTTGTTTCCTCTCCAGCGATCCCATTCGTACGATAATTTGAGCAGCAGCACCCCTACCACCACCACGATCTGTGTACGATCTGTGTACGATCTCTGTACGAACAAGTCTTTCTCCCTGCCGTACGCCGTATTTACGATAGCTTTTTTGAACTTGAAGACTAAAAAAAAAAAAAGTGTCATCAACTTTGAAAAAGTTGGAACTTGTACTCTTTTTCCAGATTTTGAAAATCTCATCCGAGAAATTATAGTAATTCAAATTTTTCCCGTGGCGTACGATAATTTTACGCTCCTGTGTTGATCAAACGAACTAAAATCTCTGGGATCACTGTTCCTCTCACTCTCGCTTTCTTTCTTCTTCGCACTTGGTCACTTTCTTTTGCTTAGGAAGTATCGTTAGTCACTGAGTGATTAGTAGAAAAAATGGTAGATTCTTTGGTTTATGGTTTTGTTTCCTTCTTCTCTTTCTCTCTCTCTCTTTTTCTATTTCTCTTACTATCGTTTTCTGTATACTTTTTTGTTCCTTTAAATGTACGTACAACTGTTAATCGCGATTTTCTATTACCTCCACGTCCTCCTTTCGATTTGGCACTGACGGATTTTTATTTGTGTTTTCTTTTTAAAATTTTATTTATTTTTTTAATTTTTTATTATTTTTTTTTTTATTTATTTATTTATTTATTTATTTATTTATTTATTTATTTATTCGTAATGTATATGTATATGCTTTTGCGTTTTCGTGTTAGTATGTATTTTATTTCTTTATTTTTTTTTTTCTTTCTTCTTTTTTGTAACTTTTTATCGTTTGTACTCTTTTTCTCAGATATATTTTTGTACACTAGGTAGATATTATAAACTTTTCAATTCTTGCTTCTCTTCACTTTCTGCCACTTTTTCGTCTTCTTCTTCTTCTTCTTCTTGTTTCTTCTTGTTT